TACTTGCAGACTGTTTTAGAATTTAGTCTCATTCATCAATTAAAAAAATAAAATTGTATTTTTCTTAATGGATTCAGTAAATAAGTTTCAAAATGTTACTGATGACTAGAGGAAATGATTATATTTTCTTTTTTCTCTTTACTGTGTTAGAGCTTTTGGCTTGATATTTAATGTTTTGGTGGGGTACCTTTTATTTTATATGCTAAATATTTTGTTTAATGTATTAGCAAATTAATAGGAAAGGCTGAGATGTGGAAGTTTTGTAGCCAAATGCATTAGTTTTCCTTATCTTCAAGGATACTTCCATACACTGCCAGGTTATGCCTAAAACTACACACAGTACTGAACTCCATATACAGTTTTTTTCCTGTGTATGCATACTTATGATAAAGTTTAAATTATAAATAATCACAATAAGATATTAATAAGAATAACTTACTATAGAGCTGAGTAAGCTCAGCATACAAAGTTTTTCTTTTATTAAGTCAAGAACTTTCACCTTTTCACTTAAAGAAACCACTTGATGGCTTCTTTCTGACATATTCAAGTTGTGAAAATCACTGATCTTGTACTTTGGGGCTATTATTAAGTAAAATAAAGGTATCTTGACAACAAATGCTGCACTAGCTTGACAGCCAATCTGATACCTGAGAAGACTATTTAGTGAATAATGTATGAGTAGTGCATACAGTGTGGATACACTGGACAAAGGGCTAATTATGTCCTATGTGAGAAGGATTGGGATGATTTTATATTTCATCATACTACTCAGAATGGCATATGATTTTAGACTTACTGATTATATATTTCTAGAATTTTCCATTTAGCATTTACAGACTGTATTTAACTGTGGAAGTCAGAACTCAGATAATGGAAAACTACTGTCCTATCTTAGTATCGTACTTTGTAGCTGGAACATTTACCCATTATTTTTAAATTTTTAGTTTTTACTGGAATTGTGCTGGATGCTTTCCAAATTTTGCTGAGAAGAATATAAAAAGTATATGTCTATTACTGTCATGAAGTGCATATTAGATTTATTTCCACAATATACACCTAGACTGTTAAACAATAAACATTTTAGATCTTTCCCTGAGATTTGTATTGATTATAGTTTTGAAAAAATATTAGTATTTCAATTAAGAGGGAGGAGTAGATTTTCTTGAATTTTATCACTTTGTTTACCATGATAAATATTATTCACATAACAGAGGAATAAATAAAAAGCAGTAATAAGAAGATAAGCTTAAGCATAGACAAGGTAGTGCAATTAAAGAAAGAGGATTGTGAGAACTTTCATCCTCATCAGAAAAAGGAATAGGAACCCTAATCATTTAGACATTAAGTTTTGTCTTTTTAGGTGTAACCCTTTGGATTTAGCTAGGAAAATAAATAATTAGCAGATTTGGGGCCAAATGAGAATAAAAGTACTGGAAATAATTGCAGAATCAAAAAGAAAGTTACTTTTAGGATTTTTTAAAATATGGTTTAGTATATCATTGTGATTAAGAAACCATCCCTGAGACTGTGTGGGCTCAAATCATAGCTCTATCCTTGCTGGGCATGTTGAGGTGCTTGTAAAGAACATCAATCAGCACCAGGCACAGAGCAGATATTCTGTAGTGTTGTTGATGATGGTGATTGTGATGATCAATACACAACTCCACAGAAAATGCTGCTGATTATGCCTACATTATGTTAATAAAAATGAAGTAATTTGGGCCATTTTCAAGTGTGTTATCATCCCCAAATCGACAGGACAGAGTAGAATACTGGATAAACTAAGCCAATGGCATTATTTTTAAATTAAGCAGGAAAGTTCAGGTGCCAGAAAACAAAAACTAGTAATCTAATTAAATCACCAGCAAGAGACAAATCCTGTTAACAACAGTCAGTTTTGTTACTACAGAGCAATTATTAAAGTGAAATATTGCAAGATGCTATGTATCATAACTAGGTTTTAAACATTCTATTTTTACAGCCAGAAAAGTATAGATTAATCAGTTTGTTTGATAAGTTAAAAGCTTCTTTATTAAAATATTTATATCAATTGTATAAAGAGAGTAACATTGTTGAGTTTACAAAATAAGTTCTGGGACACACTGATACACATTCCTTTATAAAATTATTTGCACAAGTAACTGTCACTGGAATTTCCAAGTGCCACAGAACCTAATTTGTGAAATTAAATACCAGTTTCTGATTGTGTATTTTTTTAAGTCATTGTCAAGTTAAATCATTTTAACATGGTACCAGACTATCATTTGGTTGCATGTTATATTCAAGGAATATAAATGTTTCTGGAAATATCAGATTTTTTCACAGGACTAGTGAAAAATCTCCCCCCCCCCCGACAACATTAACTTCCAAAAGTTATAGTAGTATAAGTGGATATGTTTTAAACTTCTTAGCTTTTACACCAGACTGACAGCATTTTCATTCTTGGCTCTAAGTTTCCAATTTCATGACCTGGGACAAGTAATCAATCCCTTTAAGGGCCAGTCTCTTGATTTATAAAGTGAGGATTGATAATTGCCTCATGATTTTACTGTGAGGATTACATGATTGTTTCTGTGCAAAATAGCTTGTTACAGTACTTGGCAGATATACAAATTCAAAAATCTTTGTTTTATTTTTATTTTTATTAATTGTCAAGGAGTAACAATTATTTGATCAAATTCAGGTAGATACCACTGATACTGAAGATAGGAAGAACAAGTTCAATAAATACAGTGAAGTGTGTGTGTGTGTGTGTGTGTGTGTAGGGTAAGGACTCTTAGATAAATTCTATTTTTATTTTTTCAAGAAAAGATGGGAAGATGTGTTTTTATTTATTTTATTTATTTTTATTTTTATTTTTTGGTAACGGGGATCAAACTCGGGACCTTGCACTTGTGAGGCAGGCGCTGGAACCACCGAGCTAAATCCCCAGCCCCACGTGTTTTTATTTTTAGGTAAACACATTGATGTATGTAATGGATTATTATCCACGTTGGGTATAATTGATAGAGTTGGAATTTCGAGTGCTCAAGCATTTATAAATTCTCATCTTGAGACTTATCTCTGTCAGGATATAGTACATAGATATTTGGAATGCTAGTATCTTAGGTGACTGTGACATACCTTCCTCTGTCTTTACTTGGGAATCTGTGAAGATAAAAAGCTGCTCTCAAGCAGCTTACAATTTATTGAGGAAATGTAATGGATCACATATAAATTTATCACAGTGTATCCTGATGAGAACTGAGGTAGATAGATAGATAGATAGATAGATAGATAGATAGATAGATAGCTCTGGGAACACTTGCTTTTGGTTTTGAGGGAAGAATAGAAGGCCAACAGGAAGAGAAGAAAACAGGCATTTAAAATCAAATGGACAACACTGATTAAGACTTAAAATCATGAGAATTTGCCAAGAGGAAGAAGGAAAACTTCTTGAGTGATATATTGGGTGTACATCAAGGCTGTGATCTACTTGAAAGTAACTTCTGGATTTATGAGCAAAGACTGAGAATTTTTTCCTTTCAAGATTAATTTAAGATATGAAATACATTATTGTGTGTTTGGGGGAGCACTGATTATTATGATTGTATTGTTTTTAAATAGGTTACCACTAAAGGCTAAAGGTTTTGTAAATAGCAGGAAGAACAATTAGTAAATTAGCCAGAATAGTGCCTTGGTGTGCACTCCTATTTTCAAGGTTAATTATTTGTTTAATTAAAGCCTTTAGAATCAACCAGAGATGCTATTTCCTGGAAATATTAGGCAGACATAATTATCTTTGGCAGTGTAAGAAATGTGTGACAACATTTTTTTACATCTCGATAATATGTAGCCTTTCATGACTTTGAAGACTATATCACATTATGCTTTTATTTGTATTAAGTATTTTCTCTAAGAATTATAGACTACTCATATAATTATGTCTTTATTTTATACATGAAGGAACTGGGACATACAGAGGTCAAGATCCCATACCCGGAATGTAATGGAACCATGATTTGTACTCAGTCTATATTCTTAAAGGATACCTCTTAAGACTTCGGTGAGGTATTAGATTGGAAAGACAAGGAACTTGAAGGAGATAGGATATTGTAGAAGCTACTAAAATCATCAGGGAAGAGATGATGGAAGGAGTAGAGAGAAGTACATGTGACAAGAGTATGCAACCAGAAGTATATGATTCACTATGGAGACATAATGAATTGTTTAAGGCAATTTCTGGACTTTTTTTTTTTTTTTGATACCGGGGATCGAATTCGGGACCTCGCACCTGTGAGGCACATGGTGGAGCCACTGAGGTAAATCCCTGGCTCGGGACTCTTTTGTTAAACTTTTCCTTTTTTAAAAAATGGACTTTACTACAGCAGAGGACACAGTAGTAAGAAGGCAAGTTGGTGAAAATAATGATCTATGTTTGGGGTTGAATTTAGAAAACCAGGGCATTAGTAGTACTTCAGCTCTGGAGTTCAAATACAAGAACAGAAACAAAATTTGGACTTACTGATGACTTGGACTGATTCTTTAGGTTTTGGCTCAAGTGCCTGACATTTCCTTTGGTCTTTCACATTGGCTATCATATATTGTATTTTTCTCCTCTTTTGGGTTTCTTTTTTTGTTGTTATTTTTATTGGTACACTTCAGGTATACAAGTAAAAGGAAGTTCATAGTCTATGTAGCATGTCATTCCCATTAAACACATAATCTTCTAATGTAGCCTTCGTCAAATAGCTCAAATGTAAAACTAAGAGTGAGTATTTTCAGTTCTATGTTTTATCTATATTGTTGTATTGATTCTATGCTACTAAGCATTAAGAATTAAATTTGGAGTCTGTGCAAAGCACTGCTTACTAGAATACATGGCATGACACAAACTCACTTGAGCTGTACCTGGTACTTACTTCTTCTGATGGCCAAAGTTGGGGTTTTTGTGATACTTGCTATGATATAAGAGCTGAATATGAAATAATTATTACTTTTCACTCTGATGTCCTCTGCAGAAACTTCCACTTTGGGAGCCAGGATCTGTGAGGATGATCTTACAGAGCAGCAATTGAGAGCAAGCTCAGGTAATAGTTTATATTCCTTTCAAAATCTTGCATTGTCTTAAATGAATTGCATTTGTTACTCTTATAATCTGTGTAATAAATGTTCTCTTGAACTGCTGTAATTAGATGGGATCAGATCCCTTATACAAAATAATGAAAAGCCAATAAAATATATACAGAATTTGGAAGCATTTGTAAAGTGACTTTAAATTTATGTCAACAGCAAAAATGAGAGAAAGGTAAATTTCATGTATCCCTCCCACTCCTGTACATACTTAACCTCCCTCTTTATCACCATCGTACACCTGAGTGGACAAACCTAAATTGACATGTCTTTCTCCTCCAAACTATAGTTTCTACTAGGGTTCACTTAGGGTGTTGTACATTTTATAGGTTTGGACCTATACCTATCTTTTAATATCATATAGAGTAGTTTCATTACCCTAAACATAGTATGTCCAACCTATTCATTATTTACCACTCCAGCCTACATGTGTGAAAACCACTGACTCTTTGCTGTCTCCATACTTTTAGCTTTTCTTTTTTTTTTCCCTGATTAACTTTATTGGTACATTATAGGTATAAAATACAGTTACATTCATCATTGGGATCTTGTACCATTACATGAGTATCTTGGTTCTTATTTTTTTTCCCCT